ATATATAATGCTGAGTCAGGATCTTTCAAGCCACAGTTGCTGAACAAGCCACAATGGCCTGGGTCATAGAACATTCTAAGCTTAGCATTATATGTGAATGAGGGCTAGCTTCCTGCTAAGGTCACTGTGAGTCAGATGTCTTATATAAGTATGATACGATCACTTATATATCACCCAAATTGTTCTAAGTAGAGTTTTACAGTTTACAGCTCCCTAAAGGCATAATCAACAAACATGCTAAAATGTGACTTCCAAGAAAACAAGTCATAAAGTTAAAAAAGTAAATCCAAGGGAAAAATATTCCATTTCTATCACGGTCAACATGACATTACCCAGTCAGTTCCTGCAGTTTCAGTATTTGTGCATATTACTGTAGTTCTGTTTCTTTGGATAGAAAAAAAATTGTTCTCAGTAAAATATCTTCTTGGTTTTTGTGCACATTTTCCTGAGAGAAAGCTGTTTAGCCCCAAGGAATGTGGTTTGGGGTAAATGACATTAAAAGTTGGATGAGCTGTTTAACACAGAAAGAAATGAATGCTGAATCAAGTAAAAGTCACTGCAGTATGATCAAAATTAGTGTGATTTCACTTTGTCTTTGTACTTGAGTCAGTGTCCATGAAAAGAGATGAGTGAAGAGTTTTGCCATAAGTTTGTTTGGAGAATTCATGTTTGTTTGTTTTTTTAATTCCTAAAATCTGACACCCACTGTTTTCGTCTAGTTCATTCTTCTTCAGTGTGGTGTCCTTCAAGTATGATTAGACTACAGCTTCTCACGATTGGTTACCAATCTGGCCATACTGTCTAGGAATTCTGGGGTTTACTGTCTGATCACACCTTGAGGAGACCTCATCTGAACTAGATGAAAGAAATCTATCCTATATTTTTACTTGACCTCTTTTCTGAGTACAGAATGTGCTTGTTAGTCAATGGATGGGGAGAATGGATAGAAATGCTGCAGTTAGCAAAGTGCAGAAATCTGTGCTGATATTGTTCAAGGTAGTGGCAATGGGTGAACAGAGTGGCTATTTCTTGCCTGCAGGGAGAAAGTGTGGGTGTTTTGGACTTTGAAAAGGTTATACTTTGACTTCAGTGATAATTATGATAAAGTGCTGATCCCAAAGCATTTCTCTGATCTGGAGTTTTCCTTTGAATATGTTCCTGTTGCAAGTCTTTGTGTAGGTCAGAAGGTGTGGCACTATACATATATAATTATCTCTGGTAGAATTTGTTCCACTGATAGGAGCAGGACACTTGTGCTACAGCCATGGTCCATCTAGAGAAATTTTGTGCTATTGATACCACAAAAGCCCCGGGGGGAAATGTTGAGTTAGTAAATACTACGGTATCTAATACTGCTTATCCCACAGCCACAATGTCCACCAAGAGGCTGTGTAATGAAGACTACAATGATTACAGTTCAACAGATGTGACTCCTGATGGCAGTTTCCCAGATGGCTTGAGCAATTTTTCCAGTCCATCATCCTACCAACGATTTGGAGAAGCAAATGGAACAACGTAAGTGGTTTTATTCTTTATTAGAATCAGTCTGCATCTAAATGCATAGGCTAATTAATTTAACGTTAAGAGGAAAGAGTGCATGCATCATGGGACAGCCTATTCAGGTTGCAGATAAAAAACTAAAGCGGTTGTCATTCATAGATAAACTTACTGAGTTTACCGGGATACAGCATGCAGACTTGTACCCTGTTCTTCCTTCATTATGAATTACTGAACATTTCAGACTTCTGAAGTTGATTTTCTTCTAGCCTCTGATTCCTTCAGGAAACTGTGACTTGCCAGCTGTCCCATTTTAAAGATTTGTCCATTACCAGTATTTTCCCTAAGCTATTTTGAACATGGAAAACCTGCTCTTTGCCCAAGGAGGTACACAGAAATCCCCATAAAATAGTGGCCCATGTTCCCAGCCTGTGTTTTTTGAAGTTCCTGATTTGGCATCTCTAATTTATATCAGTTAAGTGCAAGAAAAGCCAAGACTTTGCTGTAGGGTAATTTAAAATGACTTTGCTTCTCAGAGAAATTGTGACACTTCAAAAACACTTTAAATTGATTTAATTTATATCTGTGATTTATTAGTGTGGTATTATTTGAAAGCTTGTCTTGGCATCTTTTCAACAGAAGAAGTGTTATGTTATCCATTGAATTAATAGATCTGCTGAAGCTATAGAGCTACATCACCCACTATGTGGGCTGTGGGTGGATCGAGACTGTGTTAACTGAGTTAATAGTTGATACTGCAGCTGCTTACTTTCGTGTAAAATAAGTATCTGGCTGCTGTCATATATGCTGTAATTAATATAACATACTTATGTAGGGCACCCTCCTCCCCAAAAACAGTGTAGTACCTTCAGCTGCCCTGGAATGCTACTGGAAGTACCTGATGACATTCTGTCATTAGTGCCACTGATTAGTAGTAATTTCCAGGCTAATTAAAGATATTTACAATGACTTTCAGAGCCTTGCAAAGCCTTGATCTGGGATACCTTAAAGCATGGGTAGATAATGTAATGTTCTTCAGATGTTTCAGCCTGCTGCTCCCTTAATCTCTTACTAATGAAAGGTGCCAGGTTGAATGTCCCTCTCTTTATGGGTACCATTTGCCTTCCTATTCTTCCATGGTTACCCAGAGATGTGATGCACTCCCCTTTACTAGGTGTGTTAAAGTAAAGTCTAGATAGCCACCTATCTTGGCTGCTTTAATATGGATTTTTCCAGTGAGTTAAGTATTTGCCCTAAATGTCCCCTTCTGATTCTATGATATGATACTAATGGGAATGATTCTGCTGTAACTGCTATAAACATCTACAATAAGTTTCTGTGATTAAAAACAATATATGTTTTAGACAGGTTTATTAGATGCATTGAGATCATTCAGTAACTAGTGAAGAAGTTTCCCTTTCTAAAAGAAGAAAGAAATTCAGTTTTGATGTTGAGGCCAACTGTCTCAAATCAGAGATTTGAAAATGAAATGTTTACATTCTTTTCCTTTGGTTGTGGCTCATGGTATGTCATCTTTTCTTTATTTTGTTTCGTTTGCCCTAATCCAGGGATGAAGAATCTCAGAACCACCAGATGTTGCTGAACTTCAACGCCTGTGATCCTTTACCTTGGGTTATGCTGCTTGGGCTTCTAGAATTGTAGTTTTGCAACATTTGGAGGAGTACAGGTTCTACATTCCTGAGCTAGAAGAAGTAGCAATGGGTTTTTTTGAAGTACTTAATCTCTCTGTATTGTTTTTTCCTCAGATGGTGGCAAACCTTAATACATCTCTTGAAAGGAAACATTGGTACAGGCCTGTTAGGTCTCCCGTTAGCAATAAAAAATGCTGGCATTGTGGTAAGTATGTTGTATTTGGTTATTTTAGTTGCTGGGATCATACAGCTATTCTGTGAGAAGAAGGGCTGTCTTGCAAGATTCATTAAACTATTTCTTGCTTGTTTAAAAATGGCATTTGTGTTGTTGGCTGATAAATTTCATTCTGAAAAAAATGATGATCTCCTCTTCTGATCCTTCTATGAGCTATCATTTCTAAACTAACTGTTACTGTTGCAAAGTCTTGCAACATAATGTTTAATAACTGATAAGTCACAAGCTTAATTTTTGGTGGACATGTATCCATAGAAGAATAATCAAGATTCTAAAGGGGAAGTATTCTTCCCTTCAGCTATTGATATTTTTCCTACGACTAGGTTTATGGAGATGCTGCTGAACTTGCTATATACCTATATCTGTTTACAAAAGACCATTGTTGTAACTGGGGAGAAAGAAAGGCAGAGAGGCAATAAGACAATTAATTTTTCCCCATAAATGAAAATTTATTGTGAGAAGTGGCCCCTAATTGCTTCTAGAATAGCTGTAGCATCCAGGATGCATGCTAGAACAGGGAAAGCGTACCATAAGATTGCCCATTTTGAAAAAAGAGGACTTCAGTCACATACCTCTGTTTCATTTTTTAGCAATTTGAATAAGAGCCATGGAAAACATCTAAGTCAAAAGTATTTTTAGTGTCCTCCTCATCTTGTTCTGTTGATAAACCATCTAATGTTAGGGAACTGCATGTTTGTACATCGTGTAACATTTGCCCAACTCAGCCTGAGTAATATATTTACTTTCTGTTCTGTGAAATAATTACCTAGCTTATAAGTATGTAGGTTGTAATAATAAAAAAAGCATATCCTAAAGTATGTGGGCATCTTGCTCCCTAACATTCTTCTATGACTCTAATCTGGGCATTAGAACTCTCCCAGCAATTCAGAGTTCTTCAGAAACATGCACTCAAGTTCATATAAGCTACAATTGAACTAGGTTACATCAAAATAATTCTAACTTCATGTATACAGTGTACAAAAGAACTGAATTAGCAGCAAACAAGATACTAATTAGATTATTTTGACATCCTCAGCACAAGTGGATGTAAATAACTGAAGAGAGCCAAGGAGATGATTTTGGAGAAATGAAGCTGAGATGATGATTGCAAAAACATATTTTAAGCCCGGGAAACAGAGAAAATGTCAGAAAGAAGCTAGACATGATTCCTCCCTAATTCGCTAGAGTATAAGAGGGAGGGAGGGGAAACCTCCGTCAGCTTTCAAGATTCTGTTATTGAAGCCTATATCAATAAAGTTGAGTTCCAGCCAGACTTGTAGAGTCTGTTTCCTGACCTGGCCTACCTCAAAGGGCTGACATTAATCTTGCTTCTTTCCCATGCTTTCTTTGTTTCCAAAGCATGTTTTTATAACTATTGTCTCTACCTCATTTCTCCAAGGTTATCTCATTGGCTCTCTACAATAACAGAGTAAAAATACAATAAAATCCTGACCAGAAATTTTAGTCTACCAAATAATGCACTTTGGAAAGGGGAATAAAAGGAACAGAAACATGTGTTTTAACTCTCTTTCATGTAAATCGATGAAACTTTATAATAATAGGATTATGTTCTGTGTGCTTTGTATTCTGTGTATCTCTGCAAATCCATATAGATGCAGAATAGGGTTTAAGCAAGAATAGCAGTAGAGAAGAAAGTGTAGAAGAATAAAGAATATATGGGATCGAAGAATATTTTTTAAACAAGTAAATTTAGATCACATCTAATAAGAAAAGGGAAGCTAACCATGTGAGTATAATGAAGGATGAATATTGGAAAATGAGAAAAAATTAGATAGGAACTGCAGACATGAAAGGTTATGTTAAAATTGAGGTATTTACACAGGGAGGAAGGAAGGAAGGAAGGAAGGAAGGAAGGAAGGAAGGAAGGAAGGAAGGAAGGAAAGAAACCCCAAACCCTGAGTCATCCTAAGGATGTAGGAAAGTGAGAAAGAAGGGGGAAATTTGATAATAGTTAAAAGTTGGTTTTTACAGGCATTGGAGAAAATTAACAAAGACAGAGCCCAGTAATATTACCCAAATTACTTTAATTAAAAGAGGCAAGCAACAGGCAAGTTAATACTTACTTTTTAATAGCTTTTGTTTCTCTTTTTGTTATTTGTCCTATCTTCTCATTGCCCTACAAGTTGAATGGAAGATAAAGAGGAGGCATCAGAATGGCAATAATACAAGCAAAGCTATTATGAAAAGGAGATGACAGACTATTGAAAAAAGTAAATGGCTTGTGTCAGCATGGAAGTAAAAATTCAAAGTGAATAATAAGATCAAGAGGAAGCAGCTAAGAGAGAGGGAAAACCACATAGGCCACTAATATAGAGAACTCTGCTTAAAAGAGGAAGATGAGAATCAAAACCAGTAAAACTTCTCAGTAAACTGCTGGGAGCTGGTTTAATCCATAGTGAGTGGGTTATAAACATGATAAATAATAGAAAAATAGCAGAACAATTGTTTAAGAATCAGAAAGTAAATGAAAATAGAAGCATATTGCAGTAACACAACCTTGTGGCTCCGAAAGGCTATACGTATTTATATAAACGTATGTGGAACCACTACCCTTCAACAGATATATGAAGAGTTATCATGAATTATGGACATTTGTAGCTTTGTGTATCTGATAAATTATAGTCCATTTAAGCTAATGCTGTATCCAACTTGTTAGTCTTTAAGGTGCCACAAGATTCTTCATTGTCCATTGGCTTGTGGTGCATCTTTCCTATTTATTAAAGTCAGGTTTCAGGGGAAAATAAGCTCAGAAAAGAGTTTGAAAGGAACTAACAGAGAATTAATAAGATAAATTAATGAGTGCGAATAGAAATTATGCTGAAGAGATAATAGAAAGAAGATGGTTCAGGATTTGTGATGGTAGGCAATTTTTTTTTTCACATTTTAATATATACTTATCTAATTCACATTTTCTCAGCTGACACATAATTGTTTTTTGATAGTTTTTATTATGCATTTCCCACAAACCAAGTATACATTAATAAAAACTTATACAAGAATGCTTTATGTTGAGAAAAATCACTTGCAAAGATATCTGTATTTGTGAAAGTGTATTAAAGAATTTGTATTAGAAGAAATACAATGCATATACATTTTATATTACTTCTTTTAAAAAGTCAGAAATTGGACAGAGGAAATTAAAGACTGAGAGAAATCAAACTTAATTAATTTACTATCCCTGTACATGGAAACACATACCCACAAACAAATCAATGCATCTTCTGACAGGATTCATACATGGTGATAAACCAGACGGTGGTTTGCTGTTTCTGGCTTGGTATGCTGCGCAGATCTGTCCAATTGTAGCTTATTCAGGAAACCCTGTTTAAATAAATCATGGCGTGGTGCCATGTTCAAACCAGGCGATGTTAAGATATTAGAAGTTTGCATCTTTTCTTTTGAAGCATATTGGAGGGTTCTGTTGCTCATTTCGTTACATAAGCATTCGCCTGTGTAGCTGAGGTTTGACATATAAGTGCGCCCTCAGAGTTTAAATATAAAACAGGTTTATCATGTTCCTTTTTCCTCGTTCTAATCTTAGAAGGATGCTGTCCACCTTAATTGTTCATTGAGCAGCTTCTTCCAGAGATTTAGAGATTTTGTTGGCGTGGGTGTGTAAATAGATTCAATGTGAGGAGGTGTTTATTTCCAGCAATTAGCAATCACTGGAATGTGGCTGGGACATTATCAGAAGATGGAGGCCTGGATTTTTAGCCTTTGTTGTTTGCATTTTGAAGAATTAGCACACTTAGGGCCACAATCATTAGGAAAAAAAGGTGATTTATTGTTGAATTTTGGCAGTAAAACTTGGGAGGTTCATGAGGTATAAAATAGGATTACCAGTTAATGTAAGTTTGATCATCTATAAAAGTTGTATAAACACTGTAGTATTACATGGCAGATGTACCAAAATTCAAAGATCAGATTGTCCACGTTAGGTTCTTTCTTTTCCTTCCCTCTTCTGAGTGATGACTGTTTCAAGACTTCGGCTGAAAACTGTTTTGTTTTATAAAACTTTGCATTTATCTCTTCAGCAGCAAGAGTGTGCTATTAATTCTGCTCTTCTTTCACTGTTTAGGTGGGCCCTGTCTGCTTGCTTTTAATTGGAATCATCGCAGTACATTGTATGGACATCCTGGTTAAATGTGCTCACCATTTCTGCCACAAGTAAGGGAGAATTATGACAACTGCTGTCCTGCAATAAAGTGATTATGGTTATAAAATAGCTGAAATAACAGTGACAAAATAGTTCTTCTGATAAACAAAGCAAAATATAGATCAGAGAATAAGAATTAGCTGATGATGAAGCCATGGAATCACTTAGCCATGTGGGGGAAGGTTGCATATTACAGTTAGGCTTCATTAGCTCTGGAATAGTTTCAGGCTGCACGCTGTATTTTCTCAAATGCTACTAAAATGAAGAAATGAAGAAATGATGCTTGAGTCATCCATTTTGGAAAGCGTACAATTCACCTGTTTTCAGAGCTGTCTCTTCCTCTGGGCCAAGTACACAGGTTCATTGGTAGATGGGATGCTGGAAGAGACACAACCTAGGCAGATTTCCTATTAACTAAAACCTTTTCGATAGTGAAATTTGGTTTAGAAAGCTAAACTGGGCAATTTTACTTATGGGGACATGCTCTTAGTTCCTGCCCCTCCTGCTTTTGGGGGAGGGGGTCTTTAAGTGGTAGTTGAACTGTCCAACAAGTCTCATGCTTTTTACACCGCTGCTGTTTTCTCCTGAAGCATCCTGTGACGCTAGAATTAGAATGACTCATTTTAGAGAACCTGCAATTAACTAAAGCTCAGTTGACCTTGATATTAAAACACTACTAGCACTCTATTGGATTGCCTTATATCTAAATTAGGGATTGCCAACCTATAGACCATCTGTCACCTGCAGCCTCAACATGTGCGGCTCTAGAACCCTGCTCAGTTTTCCTAGTGATCATCTGAAACCACCAGATTGCTGGTTTCCCCCTGCTTTCAACAGCTAGAAAGCAGCAGTCAAGTCCCTATCAGCTATAGATTAGATTGATCAGCAGGCTTGAGGAAGACATGTGCTTCCAGTTTTTCTGTAAGATTGTTTGTTTATTTATTTTATCATATTTATATAGCCACCCATCTTACATAAAAGTGACTCTGGGCAGCACACAGCACTTAATTAAAAACAATAAATACATAAAAACAGTCACAATTAAAAAATAGCTATAAAAAGCACACACAACAGAGAGGATGAAATTAACCAAAATAAGGGAGCCATCACAACATTTCCCTGGTCCCCTTTATTTGTTTATTTATAAACAATCATCTCCCATATCATCTCTTATTTATAAACAAGCCTTTAAACCCTCGTCATTCAG